TCCGTTGTACCCAATCCGTTTACAGCGCGAATATGGGCGTTGAATTTATCCGACAGCTCACGAAGCATTGAAACGGATCTGCTCTGCACTGCCCTTAGCCCCTGAATCTCAGTGACATGCGTCTGAAGAACTAACCGTCGATTAGCAAATCTGTTTTAAATCTGTTTTAAACAACTCCAAAGACATAGTTGCCTTCCGAAATTTCCAGAACGGTTTCCAAGGCTGTGTCCCTCAGGCAGGATCGTAGATGCTGCAGTTTTTCTATGTTTGTGAGGTCAGGATGGCTATCTATTATCGTCGTAAACATAGAATAAAAATTCAGCCAGTTAGCGTAGCCTCTAGCGAATTTTGGTAGCTCCAGAAGGGAGCTACCGGAGTGAACGTTTCTGATGGCCACAACCACACGGAGAAATGCCGTCATCAAAGGTTGAGTTGGCGTGGATTTGTGAGGCGCGCTTTAAAATCTCCCCACGAAATGAGAATTTAAGCGTTATGTGAACCTCAAATTTGTCACTCAAATCGCTTTCAATTTTCCGAAACATTTTTTGCAACTCATTCAACCTTACATACAGAACGGAATCGTCAAATGAAGTTAACGCAGAACTCGATAAAGAATCTGCTAATCATTCCACCCTGTTATAATATATATGGCAGTCGCCTTGCGCCTCAAAAATGTCACCCTGTTTCCATCAGCGGTAACGTTTACAGAATTTTCAACAGCCATGGCAACAGCAAAAACAACAAAATCGGTTCAAGAGGGAAGATGAGCGCAAAGAAGAATCAGCGGCAGCTTCTGTTATTTGGCTTTAATGTGCAATTATTGTAGACAAATATTGTTTATTCATATTATATTATTATGTACTCCGCAGTAACAGCAAAGTTTAAGCTTTAAACAGCTTTGTATGATTGCACTATACATTGTTTATGCACAAATCACTCAGCAGTAACAGCAAATGCCTAGATCGAAAAGAAAGATCCGTATTGTTAGTGATATCAATTGGGGCAATTGCGACTTGCGATGATCAGCAGACCCTCTGTTTTGCCTTTACATCCATGAAAACTGCGGAAAATTCAAACCGATGGTCACTCGAGATCTCCGCAAAATCCAAAGACGAATCAAAGGCGAAGTATAAGGAATTGATCCATTCCGCTCGCGCCAGCATATCAGCTTCATCAAACTGATTGAACGAATCAGCGTTTGCACTTTCATATGTGTTTGTGACCTTATGCGCGCCAACGACACGAATACATCAATAATAAACGCTGCAACAAACAATGCTGCCCCGCTTGCGACTTTACCACTTGCGGCCTAAACCACTTAAACTGGTCTGGTTGAAATATCGAGCAGTTAGTTCTAGTCGGACTTGGAAACGCATCAGCAACACATTTACTCGAATAAAGATTATATTCAGAAACCCATTCCTTTGAGTCTTTGTATTGAAGCTATGTCCAACGCAACTATATATGTTACAACGCTGGATATGCTCCGCAACCCAATATGGGATGACTTATCTTATATTCTGTGTTTATTTGTGCTATGGTGTATTTGGAGAAGCAGATTGACTAAGCGAAATCGTGGCTCCAAAATAAGAAGTTGAGGCTATTTATAGACTTCAGAAAATTCAACGAAAAAACAATAGACAACAAATATATTATATCCAACACGACATCCTTGAAAGGTTGGGTAGGGTCATATATTTTTGAACTGTACATTTAGCAAGTGGAATTCATCAAATCAAAATGAACCTAAAAGATAGAGCCAAAAGGTTTATGAACAATGTTTTGGATACGTTAGTTGGAGAAATTTACTTAGTCTACTTGGATGTTTTATTATTTATTCCGCTTTTCCCTAGAAGCATCTAGCATATATCATATCAGTTTTCACTAAATTACGCCTAAAACCTAAAAATTCAATTAGAAAAATCAAATTTTCTTAGGAAAGAAATAGATTTTTTATGGCATATAATCATCCAAATGGGCATCAAACCTAGTCCAAACAAAATTATAGCAATTCAAGATTTTACAAATCCCAAAACTCGCGTATTACCAAACCGAAAAACCCAACAACTAACAGGACATTTTCTCATTAGTCAAAATGGATAAAGACTTTCTAGAAGCTTTTGAAACTTTTGAAACACTCCTAATTAACGACCCTATTCTTCAGCACCCGGACTTGGAAAAGCCATTCGTCCTATCCATAGAGCCGTACTGTAGCAGGTCCCAAAGAATTGAATTTGTACGGTCACAAATCGAAACATTTACGGACCACAAACCATTACTGGGGACAAGTAAATGCTAAGCAATTCGTTGGAGGGACTATCTTAGTGACATTCTAAAAACCCTCTCAAAACGTTTAGTCTACGGGCTACCTTCAAGACTTAAATCAGTAGACAAATTTCAGAACCCCTCTTCAATTTAGGGAGACTAACTGAGATTTTAATATCAATACTAAGGCCACATAAAATATTAGCCGCATTCATAACTAACGAAATTTTAATTAAAACAAGAAGCATATCAAAATATTTCGCATACACTCGCCTCTACAAAAACTAAAGATACTCGATAATCGTAAGCGAACCCTTAAACTTAGAGGAGTCTAACTAAATAGTCAAGCCCCATCACATAAAAAACAATAATCGGGGGTATGGACTAAACTTAAGCACATCCAAATAAAGGAAACCTACATTTATCCCGCAACTGAAGTTCCACAGGCGATTTTGGAATGTGAAATTGGCTTCACTTTAAAATACGACAGACGCCTACAAAGACCCCCTAACGTTTAACCCGAAATACCAAAAGGACCGTTGGACATTTCTGAGGAGTCTTAAAACATAAAGTGCAGGAGAGCTGCCCAGCAACAGCGAAGAAGGCTGGAAAATGATGGACCTTGGACCCCGGCAAAGCGGAGACCGTGAATTAACGGCACCGCGCTGGACCTTGGACTCAACCCGGCCAAGGGCACTGACAGCTTGACCTAACGGGCGATACACCTCCCCACCAAAACATCATTAGCCCCATTCGAGCCGGCGCGGGTAAGCGGTCGAGAGCAAGGGAAGGAAGACGAAGCAGCGACGCCGCGCAGCCGACGGCGAGGACTGTGGGCGTCTATCGTTCAAGAAGTCTGTAAATAAAGCTGTTCGAATCTAGAACTCTGTCTTCTCTTTGGTCGGGAAATCACAGAAATCATAAATTTGATGGGACGAACAAACAAACTCTTTGAGCTAGCCGCTGCAATTCGCAGCGAGCAGAACCAAGGAAAACAGGTCGTTACACATTATACATGCGCACATCTACACCAATAACGCCAACTGTAACCTGACAATTATCGATAAACTCTCAAAATGCAATTAGTGCCACGAAGTCATTTAAAACATTATTTAGCCCATTTGGTGTACCGAAGGAGGTAATTCTTGATTAAGCAGCCAAATTCCCTGGCCCGTATTTTCGGATTTGCAGTAACTCAACGCTCGAACGACTACGTTCCAAATTAACAGAAATATATAAGTCCTCCTAACTAGAAGGAAAGAGTCAAAATTACAATCAGACCATGACGAAATACTGAAAGAAACTATTATAACTTATAATAATGCAATATATTCATGCAAAAATCTTACACCGTCTGAACTTTTTAGCAGTCGGACACTCATGTTAAAAAATACTAATCAATTCAACAATACTCACCACTACTTGAGTAAGATTGAACAGATTGCCTTAAAACAATTGCGTTTGAAATTAAAATACCGATTTTGTCCCTGAATAACTATGCATCATGGTTAAGATTCATGGTTAAGATTCACTGTTCAATGGGACGGAAATTGTACTGAGAATAAGAATTAATTAACTATTTGTTTGCGAAACCCTCACTTTTTATAAATTTATAGCCTTATAGAAGGACTTTTGTTTATTACAAAACAAGATATTTTTTTGGGTATAAATAAGAAGTCGGATGGCGCTAGTTTAATAGTATAACATTTTTTAATGATATTTCGTTGTTTTTTCTCCCCCTCGAACTTCTCGAGGCGTTGTAAACTTCAATATTATTTGTCCTATCTTTTTATCCTATCTTCTTTTCTACTTCTCCCACTGCTTCGTTTGCACGAGTAGGCAGCATCATTATAACAGGTGTTAGGTCAACTATTACAAATTATACTAATTGAGTTTTGACATTGAAGAGGCATGTAATAAGGTAACTTTCCGTATAGGACGGCTGATAATTTCCGATTATGCGAGGATGCCGACTATGCTACCAAGAAGCCACCGTTGTGGGGGGAAGATTATCATCGTTAACAACGACCATGTCGTTGACAGCTAGATTTGGTGCATTCTTCGTCTAGGTTGTGCGCACTTGGATCTTGTTCATATACTCGTTGTTCCAGCGACTCCAGATGTGATGCTCCGTCCTGGGCGAAATAATGTGGAAGTTAATGAACTCAGAGCGACTTAAATCATAGATTGATAGAGTAGTTTCTTCCCTAAAAAGGAACTGTTTTAAAGCTTTTAGCTTATTGTTAGCTTCTACAACGGCTACAAAGACGACGCGTCTCAACGAAAGATCTGATTATCGCTTCCTGAGTGGAGGAAGCAAGTTTAAAATATGATTCCAAAATCGGAAAACGGCAAGATGGAGAAAATTTCAAATCCGGTTCCAATGACTTACTTATACGCGTAAGGTTTTTTCGAGCATTCTTTCGCTGATCCGCAAGTGGCTTCACACATTGAAGAGGGGCGGAATTTAACTTCTCACAAATTTTTCAAATTGTGTTTTTCGCAACTAGCTAGGTATTCCTTGCCATATCATTGGTGTCAAGACAGTTCAAAAGCCCTGTGCTGTTTTGATTAACGTCACTTTAATTTATATATTACAATAAAATACAAGTTGATTCTAAAATAAAGTTAAGACGTTCAGGACCTAATACTAAAGAATAATTTATTTCAATTATTAAACACTAATTAAAATCATATTATTGATATATGAAACATTTTGAATGCAATGCAATTATTTAAAAACGTTTTCTACAATTGCACTTGTAAAACAAAAAGCCAATATACGTCAGTAGGCAGCAGGTAAGTAAAATAATATAAATAATATTTGCATTTAAGCTTGTTTCATTAATTTTTAAGTGATTTTCAATAGAATTATTTTTCTTTAAAAAATATCCGGTTGGTGCCAAACGCCTTAAAAAGCATAGCGCTTTACCTTTCTTATTTTCGAAATGGCTTAACATACTTTTACCATCGATCCAACTGTTATAGTTCCAGTATTGACAGGAACCTGACGTATTGACCTCCTTATTCTTGGACTTGCGAAAGATAAGTGGCACGGGTACAGGAAGATTTGAACTATAGCCAGGTAATGATATAGATACTATTCGGCTTATTGATATTAAAGATCTAGCAGACTGTTGGAATAGTTTGTCATTTGAGTATACTTTAATAACAACAATAACGTCATTTATCTCTTTGGTTAAAGCTTTCAAGGTGCCTATTAGATCTATTGGCAAGTATACACCAAGTTCTAAGTCAGGTTCATCAACAACATCATTAATGTCATGATTTACTTGAAGAAAACGGTAATGTTCGTTTTTAAATGCTCCCTTTAGTTTTGTATGTGTATTTATTTTTTTATTATTTGCAAACAATGCTATTCCAGAAACATTGGCAATACTTGGGTTGATTGAGAAATATAAAAAAAATTTGGAAATATATACTGATACTCCTATATCATCATAGTCAATTGTTTCACTTTGCAACTCAGAGACAAGCAATTCTTCACCATTATCTATTTGAGTAAAAGTCAAATTAGTTGATAAAGTGTCAACAGACCTTTCAAATGATCTTAATAACTTATTTGTAGCATTTAGCTCAGCAGACATCTTTATAACATTAGGGTCAATGCCTAATAATATATTGTATATATCGAAAATGTCAGAAATTGCATTTTTCCATTTGGTTGATCCTTCACTTGTCTGTCGAAGTGATAAATTTGATGAATGGGTATTAAGCACGGATTGAATAATTTTAGAAATAAAGAATATATCAGCTGGGACTATATTATTTTTATTATTTGCAATTAAGTCTTTCACATTTAGTAAAACTTTTTCTGGTGAAGACTTAAACATTTTGGATTTTTGCAAATCATGCAATACTTTGGTATTATACTTAGGACTTTCACATTTGACTGGTTGTGTTAACGCTTTCCAATATGCACCATGAACAAAATCACCTAAACATAATCGCGTATAAGGCATGCCATTCTTTTGAATACACAATTTCTTTGTCGTAGCAATTTCTCCAATACGTGTTGTAGTCCACTGGTTTTGCATTTCATTGTTTGAAAATGAACGCTCTGAAAAACAATAATCTGTACTACGTATGAGAAAGGTTGAGTTCTTAATGAAATTAAAAAAAAAATTGTTCAGTACAATTTTAATGTGTATAAAGGCAAAAGATTTCTTTGGTATTTCGGGGACATTGTGCCCAAAGGCAAGTTCCTTGACATAATTTTCTGCTGTTACTTTGAGAGCCGCAGTAATATGAATCCAAAAAACAACATACTTATTTTTGATCCATTCCATATTCATTATTCGAACATCGTGTATGAAAATATGACCTAGATTTCTGTTTCCATATATACTTTCTGAAAGCTTTCTTAAATTTTTAACGGTTACTTCATCACACAAATGATGTGCAAAATTTGTATTCATACATGAGACGTTCCAACGTATAACAAATCCAGGCACTGTGTTTCTATTAAAATCTACAAATAACCGGGTGGAAATCAGCTGAAACTCAAAAATGCTGTGACCTTCACACCTATATTCGGTGCGATAGAGTGAAACTAAATTTACATTAAAAATGGAATACGATTGTTCTTGATTCTCCCATACAAGGTCCAACCTAGCTTTTTTTAAAGTGCCATATTCTAAAAAGGCAAAACATTTAACACCAACATAAGAGTTGTTATTTGCCCATAAATACTTTCGATTATAAATCACCAATCTTAGCCCTTTAGAGCTATTATCTATTTCCAATACCATTTTAACAGCACTACTTGACTTCGCAATTTTTTTGCTTAAGGTAGGAATCGATTTATAGCCTTTCCTAACAATTTTAAAATTTTCATATATACTCATAATTATAATATATTTTTTTCTCAAGTGGTGAGAAAGGAAATCAATTTTGAAAAATTCGTGTTGATTTTTCTTTGGTACGTACTTTGCTAAAATCCGTCTTAGCCAATTTCGTTTTTTTAAGTACTCTCTTAGATCAACGTGTTCATAAGTAAAATTATTCCAGTCAATACCATAACAAACCGCCGGGTGATAGACTAAAGCTCCAAATCCGCTGGGACATCCAGCATTAGATATCAGTCGTTCCGACTTAAAAATGCACACAGCATTTAAGAAAGCATGACAGTCTACAGCTACTATTTGATTTTTGAAGTCAGTTGCAGTTTGATTATTTATAATATGCTTCAGGCAGTGCTCATTGGGATTATTTTTTAAGTGTTTTAAACTCTTATTTATTTCTTTTCTCCAAGATTTTCCTGGCAAACGTACTTCATAAGGAAAAAGCTCGTTTTTTCGACGTATTGGAAGCCAATATTCACATATATTCTTCTTAAGCAAGAACTGGGATATTGCAGAAATTTCTAAGTTTGTTAAATCCATAGGAATAATTATATTTGAGCCGTAGCAAAATTGTTCATTGAACTCTTGAGGTTCATTTGAAATTTTTAAGCAAATTGGAACGTCACCAACGTCTCGAATTTCAAAAAGGTCATCAGGGCAGTGCAGGTTTTTGTTTATTTTTATTTTGCACTCTATCAAATCCGGTATCCATTGTCCATTATTTGTATCGCACACACGCATTAAAATTTGATGGTTGGATTTTAGGCACAGTAGGTCTTCAGATATTGCATAAGGAATGCCTTTATACTTCCAATATGCCGTACCTGATGTTGTTTTAGTAAATTCGTCAAGACATTTTATCTAAAATATATAAATTCGAATAATCCATTACTTATTTTAAATGTTGCCTTAAACTACACTAACATTTCATACCCTTGTTGAATTTTCTTGCGAAAGTATGGAATTATGTAATAGGCACATAAATACTACTGTAGAGATAATGTTACTACGCATGATTGTGATACACCATAGTAATAATGAAGTAGACTCCCATATTTTGGTTAGCGCTACCCTATCTAAAAACAAATAATCTTTTTTATCTTTGTTGTCTTTTAATTCTTCTATGAGCTTATAAGGTGGACCTAAAAAGATTCTCTCACCAGTTTTCAGATTCTAGTTTTGGTAAGAGGTAATACGATTTATCATGTCAAAAAGTAATTTTAGGAACTTACGAGTGACACCAGGTACAATACTACATAGGTGTAGTGAATAGTAATCTTTGAAATGCAATGCTGTCACTAAAAAAATGTTGCCGTGTTTTAATACCAATATTAAAGAGCTTTAATATCAAAGCTCTTAGCGAAAATGTGAATTTTGTAACGTGCGAAAGAAGATATAGAAAAATTTCAATAATAATTACGGTGCTTTTCCTGATTATACTGTTAAATTTTGGTTTCGAGACTTCCATAGTGCCCAAAACTGCACTGCAAATGAAGTCAGCAATGACAAGCCCTCTAATGCGGTTACAGAGAACATTTAATAAAAATCAACGAAATAGTGTTGGCTGACCGGAAAGTCTTAGTCAGCGAGATAGTATAAGCTATAAGGATATGTACCGACACGCCATATTTGGGTATACTGAATAAGTGGCCAACAACGGACACAAAACGGCGCAAAAGCTCCGAAGCGGCCAGGAAAGCTCAACAGGTTGGGAGGGAAATGTCGTCTGTTTTTTTATGATTGCCATGAAATACTCTTAGAAATGATGTCAAAAAAAATTGTGTAAAGGAACGTAAGGGTCTCCTCCCACAGTATTGCATTCCATCCGATTAAAAACGTTTGGCCTTAAAAGTCTATTTTTTCTTATTTTAGACATCATAAGTCGAGCATCAAATACTGTTAGAAGGCGACGGCGACCATTCAACTGCTTTTCAGATCAAACATTTTGTCTTTTCAGGACCTTGACAACCACAAGCGTGTCGAGCACCCACTTTTTGTCTGGGAAATAATACTATTTTCTTTATCAGAAGACTGCTTCTTCATTTTTCAGAGAGATAGTTTCTTAGTTAGTTATATAGTTTCAGAGAAATAGTTAGAGACTAAGTTACAAATTCAACAAACCAACTATAATTTCTGATTTTCTGCATTCTGACAACGGAATAATAAAAAAAAGCAGAGGCTAAGTGTAACGGTAAATATGCAGTTATTTTTGCTGATGAGAACTGGTGCAAAACTGAGTAAAAGCGCTTGTTTGGTTTTTGAATCATAACTATTCTTCTTTTTCTATTTTGCTATACACGCCTAACTGTAAAATAAAAACAAGGAGTTCAATAAAAAAAGTTTTTGTCATTTACAATATTCGTATAATAATAGGTTGGAAAATATCTCCCTTCCGCTTTTTTGCTCTTTATTCAATGCCTTATAAAAAGTGTTACAGTGATCGCATTTAGTTCAAATATGCGCCGTTTTGTTCGATAATCTGTTTCCATCTAGATGGCAACTTCATAATACCTCTCTCGTAGAAGCCCCCCTCCTTATTTGCGAAGAACTCGGACAGCCACTTTTCACAAGCCTCTTTTGAGTTCAACTTTACACCACCAAGAGCATTCGCCATGGACAGGAACAGGTGGTAATCACTTGGCGCTATGTCCGGGCTATATGGTGGATGCGATAAAACCTCCCATCCGAGCTCCCTTAGCTTCTGACGAATCATCAACGAAGTGTGTGGTCTGGCGTTGTCCTGGTGGAACACAACACCCTTCCTGTTGGCCAATTCTGGACGCTTCTGGTCGATCGCCTGCTTCAAGCGGTCCAGTTGTTCGCAGTAGATGGTAGAATTATGCGTCTGGCCATATGGGAGCAGCTCATAGTGGATGATTCCCTTCCAATCCCACCAAACACACAGCAAAACCTTCCTGGCCGTCAATCCCGGCTTGGCCACTGTTTGGGACGATTCACCGGCCTTCGACCACGACCGTTTTCGCTTGATATTGTCGTATGTAATCCATTTTTCGTCGCCAGTCACCATCCGCTTCAAGAATGGGTCGAGTTCGTTCCGTTTCAGCAGCATATCGCAGGCGTTTATTCGGTCCAGAAGGTTTTTTTGCGTCAAATCATGCGGCACCCAAACATCAAGCTTTTTTTTGTATCCAGCCTTCTGCAGATGGTTTAAAATGGTTTGGTGACAAACTCCCATCTCCTGGGCGATGTCACGAGATGCCACATACCGGTCTAACTCGATGTATTCCATGATTTGATCGGTATTTGTCGTCACAGGTCTTCCGCCGGCTGGCTTATCCATGGTGTCGTTTTCACCGGCTCTGAATCGTCGAAACCATTCCTCCGCGGTTCGAAGTGATAGAGTACCATCCCCCAAAACACCATTAATCTCACGGAACGTTTCTCTAGCGGATTTGCCTTTAACGAAGGAAAACTTTAAAATAGCGCGAATTTCGGCGTTAGTGAACTCCATGTTTACACGTCTATAACTGTTGATATCGCAATATCCAAACTAATCATGCATAGCGTCGTTTTGTAGGTTATGCCAAGACCTTTCAAATTATGTATAGTATTGCCAGATACGAGCTCTATAGCGCTTTGTACATAGCCGCGAAATTCAAAAGACAAAAAGGCGGAAGGGAGATATTTGCCAAACTAATATTTATGTGAGCTTACCTATGTATATTCGTGTCCATCCAATTTTGGGGGTGTCTGGATAAATCGAAAGGCAAAGAAAGAAGACAAAAGCTAGAGAGGCGGAAATAACGTCACTCCTTCTCTACTTAGTAACCTAACCGCACAATAAAATATTACAATATATTTTAAATATTTTAGCAACTGAAAAGATAAGAAAGGAAAATCGACCATGCTTAGAGTGCTAAATTAGTGTCCACCACTGTACATACAGTGGCTCACAGCTTATTTCAACCAGCGTCTATCTGAAAATTCAACGGTCTGTAAAAGCTGAACTAAATATTTTATTAACAAAATTTAAACGCAACATATTTCTTGTATGTTTCAAGATATTTTTTACTAACTTATTTTATTTTTAATTAATTTGGTAGTATTTTTTTAAGAATTAATAATTAAAGTGTACCTCAAAACAATGCAACAGCTGATTTCAACCAGTTTGTAACATTGGTATATGATCTTGTGATTAAATCTATTAAATTTTTTTAATATTTTGTGTGACTTGTTGTTCCCTTGTTGTCAACAACCATTTTAAGCCTTTTCGGCATCGAATCCATTAATTTTTGGGTGAGTTCTGGGGTGATTTTAGACCATTCCTCTACCAAAGCTACTTTTAGGTTAGATTTATTGGAAATTTGGCGTTTTCGGACGTTTGTATCCAAAATTGCCCGCAAATTCTCTATAACGTTCATGTCTGGCGACTGTGCTGGGGGTTGCATTACATGGGGACAATTCCACACTAGCCAGGTTTGCCCAATGGCCGACTTATGTTGTGGGGGTCATTGTCTTGTTAAATGCGAAAATTGTTCCGTATAGCCAGTTTCTCCGCACTATCCAATAAATTTGACAAAATATCGAGGTAACGCTTTTTATCCATCGTTGTCTCAATAAATTCGAGTTTCCCAACTCCAGCTGCCGACATACTGGCCCAAAGCATGACTCTGCCACCGCCGTGCTTCACTGTGGCTTTCAAATGCTTGGCTTGCAGCTCTGTATTTGGCTTTCGCCACACATATGATGCTCCATCTGAGCCAAAAATATTGAACTTGGTGTCATCAGTGAATATAACTGTGTTCCAAAAATCTGAATCCTTGTTTAAATGCTTTTTAGCAAAGTAGACGTGCCTTAATTTTTTAGCACTTATAAATGATTTCTTCCGTGCAATTCTACCATTTAAATCATGCTCACGGAGCACACGCCGAATTGTTTCCGGGTGGCAAGACTTTCCTAACTCGGCATCTATTTCGTTGGCAATTTTCGGCGCCGATAATCTGGGATTTTCCCGTATTTTCCGGACGATATGACGTTTTAATTCAAGTTCTCGCTTTGGTAGAGGAATGGGCTAAAATCACCCCAGAACTCACCGAAATATTAGTGGATTCGATGCCGAAAAGGCTTAAAATTATACAACAAGTGAGGTCACACAAAATATTACAAAAATGTTAATAGTTTTATACTTTATTAGTAACTAGTTTGTAACTAAACTGGTTGAAATAAGCTGTTGCATTGTTTTGAGGTACATTTCATTATTAATTCTTAAAAAAATAATACCAAAATAATTAAAAATAAAATAAGTTAGAAAATAATATCTTGAAACCTACAAGAAATATGTTGCGTTTAAATTTTTTTACTAAAATATTTAGTTCAGCTTTTACAGACCGTTGAAGTTTCAGATAGACGCTGGTTGAAATAAACTGTGAGCCACTGTATATGGTGCAGTACGCAATTCGCCAACTAGACAGTGACAATTCAGCATATTCTGCTTTCAACCAGTAAGTTGATCACGATATTTAAATTTGTATAATGGCGAAAGAGTTCTTTGGTATTTTGGAGGCTCTTTCCCCCTTGACATCATTTTCTGGTTTTATTTTGATCCACTTATTTTTTAACCATTCCAATTCGTGTATGGAAAGATTACCTAGATTACTATTTTCATTTCTGAAACTATCACACAAATTATATATAAAATTGTATTTATACATGAGTCAGGCGCAGTGTATAACAAATCCATTAAAATCTACAAATAACCGGGAAGAATCCAACTGAAATTAAAAACTGATGTGACCCTCACACCAATATTCGGTGCGATAGCAAATTAAAAACGATTGTTCTTGATTCTCCAAAATAAATTCCAGCTTGGCTTTTATAAAAGCCACAATCTAAAAATGCGAAACATTTAACACCAACATAAGAGACATAGACTCTACAAATTCGCCAAAAAACTTTTTGCCACGCCCATTCAAATACCCAAAAACCGCACACAACTATCACGGCCACACTTTCGAAAAATGTGATATTTTTTCATTTTTTTATATACTTTGTTAATTTTTATAGATTTCCCAAAAACCTTTTTGTC